GGAAAACATGGCACCTGGGCTGAGGCCACAGTGTCTCCAGGACTGATTGAAAACCTCAGTAAGTTGGAAAAATACTAAACAATTTATAGAGAAGGAGTTGGATTAGCATATTAGGTAACAGATTAAATCAAGGCACCATCAGAGATTGAGAACATTATGAAGATGGTATTTAAACATGGCATGAAATGACATTTAAAGCCTCTAATCAAAAAGTAAAGGATAGAGGATATCATTTCATAATTGGTACATCAGAGCACATGCACACAGTACTATACAACCTTGGAAACAAAAAACTGCAAAAGACCTATTTTATTCATAAGGAAAGGTGTCAATGCTGAGAGAAAAATTAAACTGCCTTTTTTCCCTGCCGTGTTAACTTACTAGTTGACTGGGTGGTTCACAACCAATGAATTATTAGCAAAAACACACACTAACTAGAACTTTAATGTTAAAAACTAAGCTGGCTCTTAACAATGTTTTTGGTTTATGATATTCAAGTCTGGTTAAAAACAACTCGCCACTGGTGTAGTTGTTGATGGCTTTGACACCCTCAGACACAGTGTGCTTGACCACTTCTCCAGGCAGTAGGATTCATAAATGTCTGCACATGTGGTAGAAGTTAGTCTAAAACTTGCTTTTATTAAACCTAACGCTAGACTACCTTAAGCTTCTTTATGAACTGCCATTGTCTGACAACCAGAACGTAAGGTCAGTTCCCAGACTGGACTGTGGAATAGAGTCTGATCTGGAGTGAAGAATGAGGCACACCTGCAAACCTTTGACCTTGGAGTTCAGAGGAGAAATGGGTGTATATTGCCATTAATCTCTGTAGAGTAATGAAAAGTGATTATGTGATTAAGCAAACATTTTCTTTTCTTTTTTTTTTCTTTTGGAACATCAAAAGCACAAAGTTTAATTTATTATCCTAATTGTAATAGACTTTCCTGTGTTTTGGTCTTTTCTTTCCTGTGACTTCTATCTTCAATAGCATAAGATTTTGCAGTTTGAGTTAGGCATTCCTGTTACTGTAGTTGCAGAAGTAAGGGGCATTGAAACTAGAAAGTAGAGTAAAAGGAAGCCATATCTAAGGACAAAAGCAAGGAGTATTTGCAGTATGGCAATCTAGCACATACTTGAATGTGTTGTGTAGATAACAAAAGACATACCATTCTGATCAGCTGATAAAAGTCAGAATAATGGAGATGGTCTTCCAATATGAGCTTGATGACCGGATTGACCCCATTTGTTCCTAGCGATGGTGAGGCAAACAGGAGTTTGACTTGAACTTGGAGAAAAAAGGATTTGCCAGTACCATGATGTGGACTTTAGATTCTGAGCAGACATGACACATCATTTGGGTTCATGGTTTCCAACCTTTCGAGTGTGTGTGAAAAGGCAGCCAAGCTCCAGAAAGTGACCGTTACCATTTAGTCAAGTCTTTCATTTCAGGATTCAGATTCATCCGATGTGATTTCTCGACAGCTGCCCCTGAATCACTGCTAGACATTATGAGGGTTGGGGCAGAGTGTGCACATGAGAGGTGCTTCCTCTGCCGGAGCCTCCTAGACTAGAAACAGCAGGCTCTCTGTGATTACAACAGGACTGTACACTGGTGCCCTCTGAAACAGCAGCCAGAATCAGAGCCCACATCTTACCGAGCTGTGTCTAATTAATTTTTATACCTTATTTTTTAAAAATAAATTTATTTGTTTATTTATTTTTGGCTGCGTCGGGTCTTCATTGCTGCACGTGGGCTTTCTCTAGCTGCAGTGAGCAGGGGCTACTCTTCGTTGTGGTGCATGGTCTTATTGCAGTGGCTTCTCTTGTTGCGGAGCACGGGCTCTAGGTGCACGGGCTTCAGTAGTTGTGGCACTCAGGCTCAGTAGTTGTGGCTCATGGGCTCTAGAGCGCAGGCTCAGTAGTTGCGGTGCATGGGCTTAGTTGCTCTGCAGCATGGGGGATCTTCCCGGACCAGGGCTCGAACCCGTGTCCCCTGCATTGGCAGGTGCATTCTTTTTTTTTTTTCAGTATGCGGGCCTCTCACTGCTGTGGCCTCTCCCGTTGCAGAGCACAGGCTCTGGACGAGCAGGCTCAGTGGCCATGGCTCACGGGCCTAGCCGCTCTGCAGCATGTGGGATCCTCCCAGACAGGGGCACGAACCCGTGTCCCCTGTATCGGCAGGCGGACTCTCAACCGCTGCACCACCAGGGAAGCCCAGCAGGTGCATTCTTAACCACTGTGCCACCAGGGAAGTCCCCGTGTGTCTAATTATTAATGACAGTTGTTCACAGTCTTATGAAACCAGCTCTGAGGATAACTTCAACAGTTACCACAGGAGAAATGTGCACGCTATCCTTTCTAATAATTCTAGTGACTAAAAGAAAGCAATTTAAAAACCAACCCTTTTCAAAAGGAAAACATATAAAAATTTTTAAAGGTAGATATCACAATCTAAGTCAAGATAATATTTCTATCTGTATTCAAGTGTTTGAAAATTAATTATAGAAATGAAGCAAAGTTGGATTTTTTCCCACACAGAGACAACTTACGTCTATTTCTACCAAATCAAAGCAAGTTGAATGCAAGAATGCTCCAAGTTGAGCATTTTAAGAAGAAGTTAAAAATTAAATTGCAAAACCAAGTCACATTTTCTGACTTGGATAATAATTCAGGATTAGATGTATTTGAATTCTAAAGTTGTTGATTATTTATTGCAGGGTTCAGAGTCCTTCAAAAAATGACTCAGGGAAAAATCTTTTACACAGGAAGGTGAAATTTTCATCCCTTTCTTCTATATAATGGACTTAGATTATCCATGCTTAAATTCCCAAAGTGCAGATGGAACAAATTGGTTTTTTTCTCTTCTTATCTCATAATGAATATAATAAAACTTACCTGAAAGAATTGTGAGGAGGACATATAATAAATGCTTGAAAAATAGTAGCTTGGAGGACTTCCCTGGTGGCGCAGTAGTTAAGAACCCACCTGCCAATGCAGGGGACATGGGCTTGATCCCTGGTTTAAGAAGAACCCACATGCCATGGAGCAACTAAGCCTGCGGACCACAGCTACTGAACCCGTGTGCCACAACTACTGAAGCCCTCACGCCTAGAGCCCATGTTCTGCAAAAAGAGAAGCCACCACAATGAGAGGCCCAAGCACCACAACGAAGAGTAGCCCCTGCTCGCCACAACTATAGAAAGCCCACACACAGCAATGAAGACCCAACGCAGCCAAAAAAGAAAAGAAAAATAGTAGCTTGGACTCCCCAAGACCCAGGCACCTCCTTCAGAATCCTTGATCTCAGTAATAGACTTTGCCAGGGTCTCACTCCTCCACCAGAATGCTGGGAGGGGATTTACTGTCCCATGATATAGCCCAAATAGGTATAAAGAGTCAAGCTCAAAATCAAAAGGAGATCTCCTCAGGGGCCATAAACTAAGAACTAAGAAGGAACTTAAAATCAAAGTGATGAGCCAGAGCTTAAGCCAGGAGAGCTCAAAGAAATGCAGAACCAGGTTTAATTCTCCATGGCTGGAGACTGACTCTCATGCTCACATAGGGAAAGGTGTCTGGGTTGCAAGCACAGAACATGCAGGGAGCTGGAAATGAACTATCTACATAAAGCTGGAGATCTGAAGACATTGCTTCATCTCTGAGACAAAGACAAGCAGAACCATATGCAAACTTGGAAAGCAGTGAGGATGTTTTCAACTGCATGGGCACGTAGTTAAAAAGAAGTCAACATAAACTGAGAGAGGTTGGCTTCCACTGTGCCCATGTGGGTGTTCCAAATACATGTTGCTTATTCTCCAAAGTGAGTTATAGTGTGGCCCATACCGCATGATAGTATGTACACAAATTTAGAAATGATACAAAGCATTATTTTATATAGTTTGTGAACATACCTATAGATAGTAAAAATAGAAAAATGTGGAGAAACCTCACTAAATTTATGTGAGACATATTATTGTTCGTGTGTGTGTGTGTGTAAAAGAGAAAGGATCGGGGAAAGTAATAGAGTGAAGTTCAACTTTATCTGTTATAGTTCAATATTTCAAAGAAAAAATTAAAATTTCAAAGAGAAAAAACACAAAAACAACAAAGAAGGGAAAAAAGTACTAAACTGCATTTAATTATAATATTCTCTTTCTTTTTTTAACCTTTTCAAAAGAGAACTAAAGTCATCGAAGACACAGTAAAGTAAAGTAAAAACCACACGCAAATGTCTGAACTAGAGAACGCATCTGAGGTTTTGAGGAGATACACCTGAGGAGAAAGGTCGAGAATCACATGTTGGCAGAGAAGCAGGCAGAACTGCAGAGGGGGTTCAGATTCCGAGTACTCAAGGCACACTTTTCTGAAAATTTCCCCAAAGGCCACTTGGCAAGAAGCCTTCTCATTCAACTTCTAGTTTGATGAATCTCATTAATGATTACCGAGTCAGGCCCCAGGTGGCAAAGCATCTTCAGCTTCCTGCTGGCAAAGCTGTGGAGGGAGAGAGCGTGAAGGAAGAGCAGGTTCTAAGTCGAAGTCCTTCCTCAGACACTAAGTAAGTCACTTACCTTGGTGTTGCTACGAAAGCCCTCAAAGGGTCCTTTCTGTGTAACAATTGGCAATTTTTGTATACCCTCCAAGTCGCAGGTTTTCTCATATTGAGTTTTAAAAAAAAGTAAATGAAAATGTAAAAGCCTTATCTCCGTAACAAGGCGGAGAGAAGAGATGTAGAAGCAGGAAGCTGAAATATTGTCCCCGATCAGCCATAAGCTTTGAGAAAATGCCAACTGTGGAAGACATTTCCAAGAAGCAGGCGCTCTAGGGAAATGTTTAAAGGCTGAGTTTTGGGAGTTTAATTTTGGGGCTTGTGAGCAAACATCAACTCTTTCATTTGCCAATGGGATGAGCTAGCTGAAAAGGGTCAGTAATAGCTCCATCTGGGGTTGATGTAAACTGCCTGGGTTAGTAGTTAATAACAGTAGCTATCATAATTTCTGTTGCAGCAACAGCTGGTGGGAGAAGAGCTGCAGAGTGGTTGTGAAGGAACACTTCAGATACGAAAGCCTTGGCAATCACAGCGCCATCTCTTACATGAAGATTCATTGCCCCCGCGAAGGTTGTGCAGGGCTTTTCTCCTGGGCAGATTGACAGCAGCAACAGGACTAGTGCCAGTGTCCTGAGGGACTCCATCCTTTTGTAATCAAGTTCGTTGATTTCCCACCCAGATCAATTAGGGTCCAGGGCTTTGACACAAGACAGGGCTGGGGGTGACTCTAGTCTAAGACAGCATCTAGAAGAATGCTGAGTAGGAACCAGTGAGATGGTGTGAAATTTAACCAAACTAAAATGGCTGGGGATAGAAGAAGAGATGAGGCAATGGAACAGTCACCAGGGCCATCAGAAAATGGTAGGTGGGCTGAAGACAGTTGGAAGGAGGTGATCAGGGAGAGTCCTCAAGGCCGAGATGTAGAAGTTACAACTTTTTGATGACACTTGTGCCCTCACAGATGTATAGGGAGGGTACTATTGGTTGCACACCCCCAGCCTTTAAACCCAGTGGCCTCTACAGGAAGGTAAACCTCAGTATAATTCCTTGTGAACACTGCTTCGAACCAGAAACATCACAGGATGCCATATAGTCTCTGACTCAGGCAACCAGCAGCGTTTTCTGGACCAATACTGGAAAATAAGGTAGCTGTTAAAAAGTATGTGTGCGTGTGTGTGTGTATACACACACATATACAAAACATATATAATATATAAATATATGTATATAGTTTCTTTTGTATAGTCCTATGCCTTGGAGGCTAGCGGGAGTGGAATTGTATTACCCTTGCAACCTCACTGCCGGGGCATCCAGCCAGAAAACTTTCTTGAGGTCACCAACCTTCCCTGGAATTCAGATGTTCCCTTGGCAGCCACTTGCTCTCAGAACTTTCCCTTATGTGGATCCCTGTTTGTTGCCTATACTCAACCACCTGTTTAGCTGTGTGAGTGAATGCTTGTAAAACCTCCTGGGAGAATGATCTCTGTGTATTGAATATATGGTCACATCTGCTGGGACTGGGCACTCAGGTTTCCGAGACAAGGCATGCCTTGTTGTCTAGAACAGAGATAATAGAAAACTGGAAGTAATCTAACATTCAGAATGTTCCAGTCCAAACAGTCCCACAGCAGGGGGATGGTAAAGTCTCACAGCCACAGAGTTACATTGACTGACATCATAACAGAACATGGAAGTGAGAATAAATATCACCCATAGGGAAAAGGTGTTAATAAAAACAACATATTCCTGTTCAGCATTGCCAGGTTGTGCAAGACAATGCAGGTGGCCACATCTTTGTCTTTAGGAAAGTATCTCCCAAGCAATCTTTGCAATTAAAATCAGGGCAATTTCCCTAGGTACAAAAGGCCTAGTTTTTTCAATTGAAGTATACTTGATTTACAATGTTGTGTTAGTTTCACATTTAAAAGGCCTATTTTTGAAATGTTCTGGCCACACCAGGGAATTAGAATGCCCAGTGCCAAGGTCTGAAGAGACACCTCACCAAAGAAGATATATTGATAGCAAATAAACACGTGGAAAGATGCTCAGCCTCATTAGAGAAATGCAAATTAAAACCATGATGAGATATTACTACACATCCTTTAGAATGTCTAAAACTAAAAAGACTGACCACATCAAATTGTTGAGTATGTAGAGGATCTGGAACTCTCTCATACACTGTTAGTGAGAGTGTAAAATGGTACAACCACTTTGGAAAACAATTCATCATTTTCTCAAAAAGTTAAACATATACTTACCATATGGTATTTATCCACTCATAGGTACCACTCGTAAGTATTTATCTAAGAGAAATGAAAGCACATGTCTAAACAAAGACCTGTACATGAATGTTCAGAGCATCTTTATTTGTAATGGCCATGAACGGCAAACAATACAATTTTCATCAAAAGATGAATGGATAAACAAATTGTGGTATAACCGTGCAATGAAATATTACTCAGCAATAAAAAGGAATGAAGTATTAATGTACACAACATAGATGAATTTCAAAATAATTATGCTGAGTGAAATAAGCCAGGAAAAAAGTGAGGACATACTATATGATTCTATTTCTATCAAATTGCTAGAAAATGCAAGCTAATCTTTTGTTTCCAGGGGTAGAAGAGCAGGAGGAATGGGCAGGAGCTGGGAAATGCTTCCGAGAAGTATTACAAAAGGACAGGATGAAACTTACAGGGGGTAATGTATAAGTTACTATTCTGATTGCATTGATTGTCTCATGGGTATACATCCTTCAAAACTTATGGAATTGTACACTTTAAATAAGCATAGTTCATTGTCAGTTATACCTCAATGAAGCTGTTTAAGAAAAACAATGAATAAAAATAGAGAGGAGACATCCAAAGGCCACACTCTGAACTTGACCTGCACCCAAGTAGGATAATTATAACATGAAAAGAAAATAGAATTACATTGAAATGGAATCGTTTTAAAACCATGATTCCATAATAACTCTCTAAAAAGAAGGTATTAATGTAAGAAATGCTCATATAATAGTTATAACACAAAGAAGGATAGCATTATTAGGGATATTTTAAAAGTAAAATTTCAATATGTAGAGGGGAATAGACAGAAGTTTGCCCCATTTTTTAAAGGACATATGTCTTCCTACAAGTTTCGTTTATACAAAGGACTGTTGGATTTGGGTCCTGAAAGTAGGGCAAGCAGTTGAGGGAAAGCGGGGTCAGGAATAGGAAAGACCAATCAACCCTGGTAACCCCACACTCTCACAAAGTGAGAAAGAGAAGCAACATTGCTGGCCGTGTGCCACCAGAGAGGGTCTAACTTTATATCCTAAGGGGGCAGCCTATGGCACGTGCAGTAATGAAACTTTTACTGCACTAATGAAACTTTTAATTTTTATAAATGCTAAGAAGCCATGCCTTAGTTTGCAACACTGGTTTTAGACCGAGTCTAGTTAAGTGCCAGTGTTTAAATGTTTAAGAGGATATTATTTATTGAACCAACAACTTTGATTTATTAGTGGCATAAATAGTTACGTGTTTTGAAACTTTTCCTTTAAGAGGTTTAACATTAATAAATTGAGCACTAAACATAGCACAAATATTGTAATTCTACACACAGTACCATACAAGAATCCCCTTGGGTATTAAAGATCTTAATATTGTATGTAGGAAAGACGTTTTACTTCTCTTATAAGCAGAAAGGTCAAGATCTCTGTGCTGGTTTTTTCTATAACACTGTAGACCTATCATCAACTTGTGGCCAAAAATGATCAGGGTTAGAATTGTATCATCCTGTATATATACACAATGGCATATTATTCAGCTATGAGAAAAAAGGATATCCTGCCTTTTGCAACAGCATGGATGGATACTGAGCACATTATGCTGAATCAGATAAGCCAGAGAGAGACAGACAAATACAGCATGATATCACTTATACATGGAATCTTTAAAATCAAACATGTAAAAAAGCCACAGAGAGTAAAACAGTGGTTACCGGGGGATGGAGGGTAGGGAGTAACACTGATGGTATTTAAGGGTACAAATTTGTACCAAGTACTAAAATAGCCATAGAGATTTAATGTACAGTTTATTGAACATAGGTAATAATATTGTACTAAGTATATAATGTGATAAATATCATCACGGCAACCATTTTACAATATATAAATGTATCAAAGTAACACGAGATGTACACCTTAAATTTACACATTACATGTCAAATTTATCCAATTAAAACTTGTATCATCTCATTATACAAATTCGGTCTCCAATTATCGATGACACACGTTAGCGACACTCACAGTGGGTCAAACGGGGAAGCAGTGTGGGAGTCATCAGGGGTACCAGAAGCCAGGTTCTCAGGTGCAGTAGAGGATGCTAGAAGGAGACAGCTCCGCGGTGACCCACATCTGTAGCTCCAACGACGATGGCAATAAACCACATAGCAACCACTTGCTGAGCGCCAGGCACGTGCAGTCTATTGAATCCTTACAGTCCTTGATGAAGGTGCTGCTGCCGCGCTGTTGTTGTCATTGTTCTTGTTAACAGCAGATGGGAAACTAAAACACACAAATTTGCTCCTGGTAGCACTCAGCACATTAGGTAAATCACAAGGCTGGATTTCAACTTAGAAATGCCTAGCTCCAAATCCAGCGCTCTTAAGTTGGCACACAGCGAGTACTCCAGATCCTACATAATAAACAGTTCCACGCCTTAGGCGCCGTACGCCTGTTGTATTGAGCCAGGACTAGGTAATGATCCTGCTTATACCCCATGCAGATGGAACGGCCCAGCTTCTGTTTGCCTGTTGCCCGCTTTTTAAATGTTTCCAAGAAGTCTCATTTCTCGTGGCTGACACCTTGGATAACATATCACCCTGTAGGTGAAAAACAGTCATCAGGAGAGAAGAACGCAATGGCCACCATGACAGAATTGAGTCCCACGGCAGGGAAGTACTCCCAAGATGTACAAGGGGATGAGAAGCTCAGTCCTGGGAAAGGTAAACTCAACCTTGACTATGTGGTTTTAGGATTTTATGGTGGGTTTTTACAATATCGTAATGCAAAGAAATGAATTCATGTCTTTTAAGGTGTTTAATTGTTTTTTAAAAATCAAGTACTATTAATGTACATTTCTAAAAAAGTATTTTATTTTTGATGATTACCTCCTAATCTTAGTCCATATGCACTTGCGTTCTTGATAAATGCTACCAAATCGTCTACACATAGTACTGTGTATTCTGCTTGTTACTGCATGTAATATTGTAAGCATAATTGTATTGCTTAAGTAAAGTATAAAAAATTATTTACAGAAACCTCAAAAAATCAAGATATGAAAAAGATGTTACTAAGCTTAATGTAACCACTGTAATTTGTTTTTATTGCCTTCGTTTACATGTATATTTTATATAGTTCTGTGCTGTATATATTAAGTTGTATGTTTTGGACCACACATACTTTTCAATTTGCTTTATAATACAATCATTATTCTTAAAGGATACATATTATTATTCCAATATATCCAATAGATAAAGTATTATTTACCTGAAAAATCCCTGTGGTTGGATATTTAAGTTGTGGAGTTTTGGGGGTTTTTGCTTACCTATCATACAGATAGATTAATTGATAGATATAGTTATATAGATATAACATATTGTATATGTTATATATAACATATCTATCTATATATCTCATGATATCCTGTAACATAACACTTGTCTACAGTTGGAATTATTATTTCCTCAGGGCTTTTTCCTAAGAAAAATAAAAATTTTAAGCAATGGTTATAAATACTTCATTTCCATTGGCCACTAAAGAGACCTTAGTTTTTAATCTGAAAAATAGTGTGGCCACATAGAGAATTTTGAGCAGAAAATGGCGTGATCAAATTTATGGTACGACTAGAGCACTCCAAATGCTGTAATGAGAGTAGACTGGAAGCAGGAAGTCAAGTTGAAGGCTATTGCAAAAATCTAGGCAAGAGAGGTTGGTAGCTAGAACCACATGGAAGAGGCTTTAAACAAAAAGATAGCAGTGGCCCTGGTGAGAAGTGGTTGAATTCTACATACATTTTGAATGAAAGAAAGAAAGAAAGCAGTATGTTCTAGATAGACTGGATGTAGGCTGTGAAAGAAAGAAATCAAGGATAAATTGCAGTGTTTGGAAGGATGGAACTTCTATCACCTGAGTTGGGAAGGAATTTGGGTGGAGCAAGGTTGGGAGGGGGAACTTAGGAGTTTAGTTTTGGATCTATTAAGTTTGATTTGTCGATTAGTTGATCAATTGATTTTTAGTAGAGCAAAAAATGATGCATCTTAAATCAATGATAACTTCAATTGGACAAAAGGCAGTATTATTGTATTATATATTGAGTTTTAAAATTTTAAGACATGAGATGTTGTACCAACATTATTTTTCATATATTTTAACTAGACACGGGAAACAAATAAGTTTTAAGGACACACGTAGCAGCCTGTAGGGAACACTTAATATGCAGCAAGCACCAGACTAAGCCTTTTAAATACAGCCTCTAGTGGATCTTTCAGCAATCTCATGAGGCAGGTGTTCACCCCACCCATTTGTGAGCCATTAGTCTCCTGGTTTGCTGATACTCGCTTTCTGTAGCCTTTGGCCTCTAGGATCCCAAAGCAAGCTGGGGAGATCAGAGGCCAAAGAACAGATAAATTATTAGTTGATTTGATTGACATAGGAAGTCATCACCCAGCTCCAAAAAAGAAAGGAAAACCTTTACAAAGACATTATTTTTTAGCTCCTCGCTCTAATTACAGTACACTTCCAAGTTTCTTCCAAATTCTTCCTTCCCCACTACATTCACTGCAAAGATCTGTGTTCTACTTAAGGAGAAGAGAGTATGGTCTTGAGGGAAAGGCTCTTTTGTAAACCTCAAGGCACCTCTTTTCTTGAAGTTTTGAAGACTTCTTGGTGATGCATGGTGTTGTTATCCTCTCCTACACCATACAGCCATACAAACCCCACAGATGAGTGCACTCGGATCGTGGCAAAGGTATTCTCATGGAATCATCTGGGACAAAATAAAAGCCACTGTACACAAGCAGTGCAGTGGTTACGAGCATAGACACTTGAGCTATACGATTAGCTGACCGCTCTGCACCTGTAAAGTTGGAATAGTGGTAGCTGCTTCACAGGGTTATTGTGAGGACTAAATGAGTTAATGCTCAGTCATCATGTTACATATAACCTATCAGAAACATCTGACACACCTACTCACTCCCTCCTCCCCGTAGCCCTTTTCCCCTTGGCTTCCAGGACACCACACTTTCCTGGTTTTCTTCCTACCCCACTGACCATTCCTTTTCAGTTTCCATTGACAGTTTCTTCCCATTTATCCAACCTCTAAGCATTGGAGAGCCCTAGAGTCAGTCCTTGGTTATCTTCCCTATTTATTCTCATTTCCTAAATACCATGGCTTCAAGTATCATCTTGAAGGTTATTAACTCCCAATGTTTTGCCTCAGCCTCTATTCTAAACTCTAGAGTTTTATATGCAACAATATTCTCAACATCTCTTGGGTGCTTAAAAGGCATCTTTGTCTTAACTGTCCAATAATAAGCTCTTTATCATCCCACTGCCCCCAAACCTGCTTTTTCTGCAGAACTCTCTTCCTCATTGAACAGCAACTCCATTCTTCCAGCTGTTTAGAACAAGAACCTCTCTAATGCCCTTCCCTCACCCATCTGTAAAATTGAAACCAAGATTCAGTTATTCCCCTACTGCAATCTATCTGGGATCTTATCACATCTTAGTTCCTCTACTGCTACCACCCTAGTTCACGGTTCTTCACTTCTTTTCTGGATTGTTGCAATAGTTTCTTCCTGGCAATAGCCGTCTTTCCTGGAAGTACAAAAACAGATTATTTTAATTTTGTGCTCATTTCTTTTTCTGTTATTTTTTCACTTTCACTGTATTTTTTCACAGTTTGTCAGTGTCAATTTTTCTCTAATGAGAAAATCTTTCTAGAGGTTTAATTTCAAAATTTAAATGAAAGTTTGCCCTCACTGACTGAGACATATGAGAAGAATAATAAATCTATACCAATGAACAACTCCTTCAATGTTTAAAATTTACATTATATATGTATATAATATAGTACATATAAATTATATAATTTAAATATGTATACTACACATATTTCATTTATACGTATATATTTACTTTTAATATATATATTCTATATATCCATATCTATATATATTTAAATATGAGTAATTTCATCAACCATAGAATACAGTAACCTAGGAATGGGAGAGACAAAATTGCAGGAAGAACAGAACACCCCAGAGCAAGTCAGGGTCTATAAAGCTGTGGTATAAAACACGCTTTGACTCAACTCAGTCATTTTCTGCTTTTGTAATCTTTCTTTCCCAAAGCCGATAGAAGTGCCATTTAAATCATCAGGTTATACCCTTCTGTATTATAACTTGTGAAAAATAAACGATGGTTCAATAAAGAAAGCACTAATATAATGTCATAATATTTCCAGCTCCAAGCTTATGTTCCACTCGCTATGGAATAGCCTTCATCACACATCTCTGCAACTTCATAATAATGGCACAAAATATTATCATGAACATCACCATGGTAACCATGGCCAACAGCACAAACCATCAGTCCCAGTTTAACAGCTCCACTGAGGGGCTGCCTGTTGACTCATTTGATGACCCAAATAATTCCCCAAAAAGTCTTCCTGCGGGGGTAAGCAATGCAAGATTTAAGTTGTGTTCTTGTTTTTGCTATTTGTTTGTTTGGATATTTATTTTTTCTGGAGTTTATATGTTAAGAAGTTTTAATTGAGGAAATAGTGATTTGAAAGCAAGTGGAAGATCTAAAGAGGCTTCTTAAGTTATGCAACAGCCTTCCTGTAAATGGCTTGCCAAAGCAATCTCTGTTTCTTTAAGGCCCCTGTGTATGATTGGAGCCCTCAAATCCAGGGCATCATCTTTAGTTCTATCAACTATGGCGTGATCCTGACACTGGCTCCCAGTGGATACCTGGCTGGAAGAGTAGGAACAAAGCGAATGATTGGTGCTGCTCTGCTTGGATCCTCATTTCTCGTTCTCTTCACCCCTCTGGCAGCTGACCTTGGCCTAGGTTTCCTCATTGCAACTCGAATACTTCAGGGCGTGAGCCTGGTACCCAGATATTTTATAAATATGCGCTGGATATGAATTTCTCTATGGGACCACATATCAAGAACTCTGTTTTTATTTCAGGGGTTAGGATATGGGGGTCAGTTTGCACTCTGGGAAAGATGGAGTCCTCCAAATGAACGAAGCCGACTCTGCAGCATTGCTTTCTCAGGTAAAAACATATAACGGAAATGAGTCCACTACAATCCAACATTCTTTCACTGAGTTCTTCAACTTTTTTTATTGAAAGGTTCTTTGTCTTCTGCTCAATGTCAATCAAGTATTTATAAACTAGGGGGATGGGTCCTTTGTGACATGACTTTTAGTTATTTTCCCCAAGTTGTCATTTGTGATTTGACTTTGCTTATAATGCCTTTTGCCATTTTTTAAAAATACATTTTTATGTAGTCAAATTGATCGTTCTTTTCTTTTATGGTTTCTGGGTTTGAGTCATAGTTAGAAATGTTACAAAAGCATCCAACCTGGCTTTTAATGAATATGTATGGTTTCATTTTTTATATTTAAATTTTTGACATATTGGAGTTTATACTAGTGTTCAGTGTGAGGCATGAATCCAACTTAATTTTCTTTGGAATTGCTCTCAGTTGTCCTGAGAACTGCTTTCTGATAATGATCTGTCTGGACAGTGTACTTGGAATGAATATTCTGGAGGAAGAAAGCTTCAGTTACATTGAGTCAAAATGAAAAATGGAAAGAGTAGGGCTAACAAACTGGAAATTGCCAAAGTATGGGTGCTGGGTAAGGAGAGAAGGGTAGGAGAGCCAGGGATTCTTCAAGTCCAGAAAACGAGTCACGTGCACACACATACACACCCTGCCTGACCTTATGCCTCTCTAGAGCCCTTCACAACCCTGGAGGATTAATCTTTGTCATCTGAGCTCATATCCACTGATAGGGGAATGGAGGCTCCAGTTTGGACTAAGGAAACTCACTTTGGTTATCACAGCTGACTAAGGGATATCCTCAAATATAAATAAGGATTGGCTGGGCTTCCCTGGTGGCACAGTGGTTGAGAGTCCGCCTGCCAATGCAGGGGACACGGGTTCGTACCCCGGTCCAGGAAGATCCCACATGCCGTGGAGCGGCTGGGCCCGTGAGCCATGGACGCTGAGGCTGGGCATCCGGAGCCTGTGCTCCGCAATGGGAGAGGTCACAGCAGTGAGAGGCCCGTGTACCGCAAAAAAAAAAAAAAAAAAAGGATTGGCTTTCCCAAACCCTCAAACATTTGAAGGAAATCAAGAGCATGAAAGAGAGAAACCAAACTCAAGAACTGGGGCTTCCCTGGTGGCGCAGTGGTTGAGAGTCCGCCTGCCGATGTAGGGGTACACGAGTTCGTGCCCCGGTCTGGGAAGATCTCACATGCCGTGGAGCGGTTAGGCCCGTGAGCCATGGCCGCTGAGCCTGCGCGTAAAACTGCAAGAACTAACCCAAATGAAAAAGAAATTAATAAAGGAATTCAAAGAAGATTTTAAATAATTAACAAATAACATCAGAGAGATCCACGGGAATATGTGTAGATGATATTCATTTTAAAAGAACATACTGCTATAAAAAACAGTTGTTGCTGAGACTTCCCTGGTGGCACAGTGGTTAAGAATCCACCTGCCAATGCAGGGGACACGAGTCCAAGCCCTGGTCTGATTTTTTTTTTAACTGTGAGATCAGGAAAGCCCTTTTAAGCAAAGGAGTAAATCTAGAAGTCATTACAGAGGAAACTTACAGATCTGGCCCCATGAAAACTCACAACTGCTAGGTTACAAAAGACACCATAAACAAAGTTTAAATCGGGAGAATAGAATTGCAGCCAGCATGACAGACAGAGGGTTATTATTCACAACACATAAAGATTCTATAAATTGAGACAAAGTTAAGCAAGTGAAAGAAACAAAAAAAAAGATTATGAACAGTTCAAAAAAGAAATAAAAATGAAAAAAATGTTCAACTTCACTATAAAAAGAAAAACTTATATACTGTTTTGCATTCATATTTGGAAAACTAGGAGGATGTCCAATGTTGTCAAGAGATGAGGAAAACAATCTCTGTTGGCAGTTTAATTTAGTATGGCCTTTTAGCAGGATACTTCAGCAGTTCTGTCAAAAAATGCACAGTCTTTGGTTTAGCAAGTGTACCTTTGATATTTTACTGTACAGAAATAAATTATGTTTAAGTTCAGAAGTGAAAATTAAGTTTATGTTCATAAGTAACAACTAGGTAGCATCTGCAGTGACATGGAAATATTTACAAGCCCAATTGTTAAATAAAAAATAAATGTCACAGGACAATAGGTACATTATGGTCCTGCTTATTTAAAATTAATAATAACTCACATACATATATATAAAAGTTGACAAGTTGATGTTAATGTTCATCTGGAAAATTTAAAAAAACATAATAGTCTAGTTTTGAAGAAGTTGTAAAAGGGATATGTGCCTCACTATATATGAGAATACTTGGTAAAGCCATGGAAATTAAAACAGTGCTATTAGCACATTAATAGACAAATCTATCTAACTTTCTGTCTACATATTACATAAATGCATTTACCAAGAGATGCATGTATGTATAGATATACATTATGTATGTGTGCAGAGAGGAAAATGTATGCAATTATACATCATATAATAAATTGTAGCTGTTGGTTAACATTCGAGTGGGGATGGATTGGGGGGCATGTGAGGGGAACCTTGGTTCTTTGCAGTAATTTACTTTTACAATAGCATATGTTATATGAATTGTGTAATTAAAAATTAAAATGGCATAAAAGGAAGCATGGTTGTCATCTGCAACGTTACTAGGGAACTGCCAGAAAAATGGGTCCTCAGGAGAACATATGAACTCAATCACAAGTTTGAAGTTCATATATTCTATTATGCTTATCTCTTTATGGTGATACTGCTCTGTAACATGTCATCTGTCATTCTGTAGGCATCTATCAGGTGGCAGTCCAGAGCCCCACAGCTTATTCTCTCTTTGCAGGAATGATGCTGGGAAGCTGCGTTGCCATCCTCCTGGGTGGCAACATCAGTCAAGCCCTTGGGTGGCCTTTTGTCTTCTATATCTTTGGTAAGCTGCTGTCTCCCCACTCCTAGGTTTTCATATTCAGGGAGATTCTTCTGAGTGTCTATCTGTGTGTACTTTTCTGGAGGAAATGAATCGAGACAGAAAGATACTAGTAAAAGAAAATGTCTTAACATAATAGTAGGGAAGAATTAACTTATACCGTCAAAGGATTTGGAAGTCCTATATAAATAAGGATTGGCTGGGCTTCCCTGGTGGCACAGTGGTTGAGAGTCCGCCTGCCAATGCAGGGGACACGGGTTCGTACCCCGGTCCAGGAAGATCCCACATGCCGTGGAGCGGCTGGGCCCGTGAGCCATGGACGCTGAGGCTGGGCATCCGGAGCCTGTGCTCCGCAATGGGAGAGGTCACAGCAGTGAGAGGCCCGTGTACCGCAAAAAAAAAAAAAAAAAAAGGATTGGCTTTCCCAAATCCTCAAACATTTGAAGGAAATCAAGAGCATGAAAGAGAGAAACCAAACTCAAGAACTGGGGCTTCCCTGGTGGCGCAGTGGTTGAGAGTCCGCCTGCCGATGTAGGGGTACACGAGTTCGTGCCCCGGTCTGGGAAGATCTCACATGCCGTGGAGCGGTTAGGCCCGTGAGCCATGGCCGCTGAGCCTGCGCGTAAAACTGCAAGAACTAACCCAAATGAAAAAGAAATTAATAAAGGAATTCAAAGAAGATTTTAAATAATTAACAAATAACATCAGAGAGATCCACGGGAATATGTGTAGATGATATTCATTTTAAAAGAACATACTGCTATAAAAAACAGTTGTTGCTGAGACTTCCCTGGTGGCACAGTGGTTAAGAATCCACCTGCCAATGCAGGGGACACGAGTCCAAGCCCTGGTCTGATTTTTTTTTTAACTGTGAGATCAGGAAAGCCCTTTTAAGCAAAGGAGTAAATCTAGAAGTCATTACAGAGGAAACTTACAGATCTGGCCCCATGAAAACTCACAACTGCTAGGTTACAAAAGACACCATAAACAAAGTTTAAATCGGGAGAATAGAATTGCAGCCAGCATGACAGACAGAGGGTTATTATTCACAACACATAAAGATTCTATAAATTGAGACAAAGTTAAGCAAGTGAAAGAAACAAAAAAAAAGATTATGAACAGTTCAAAAAAGAAATAAAAATGAAAAAAATGTTCAACTTCACTATAAAAAGAAAAACTTATATACTGTTTTGCATTCATATTTGGAAAACTAGGAGGATGTCCAATGTTGTCAAGAGATGAGGAAAACAATCTCTGTTGGCAGTTTAATTTAGTATGGCCTTTTAGCAGGATACTTCAGCAGTTCTGTCAAAAAATGCACAGTCTTTGGTTTAGCAAGTGTACCTTTGATATTTTACTGTACAGAAATAAATTATGTTTAAGTTCAGAAGTGAAAATTAAGTTTATGTTCATAAGTAACAACTAGGTAGCATCTGCAGTGACATGGAAATATTTACAAGCCCAATTGTTAAATAAAAAATAAATGTCACAGGACAATAGGTACATTATGGTCCTGCTTATTTAAAATTAATAATAACTCACATACATATATATAAAAGTTGACAAGTTGATGTTAATGTTCATCTGGAAAATTTAAAAAAACATAATAGTCTAGTTTTGAAGAAGTTGTAAAAGGGATATGTGCCTCACTATATATGAGAATACTTGGTAAAGCCATGGAAATTAAAACAGTGCTATTAGCACATTAATAGACAAATCTATCTAACTTTCTGTCTACATATTACATAAATGCATTTACCAAGAGATGCATGTATGTATAGATATACATTATGTATGTGTGCAGAGAGGAAAATGTATGCAATTATACATCATATAATAAATTGTAGCTGTTGGTTAACATTCGAGTGGGGATGGATTGGGGGGCATGTGAGGGGAACCTTGGTTCTTTGCAGTAATTTACTTTTACAATAGCATATGTTATATGAATTGTGTAATTAAAAATTAAAATGGCATAAAAGGAAGCATGGTTGTCATCTGCAACGTTACTAGGGAACTGCCAGAAAAATGGGTCCTCAGGAGAACATATGAACTCAATCACAAGTTTGAAGTTCATATATTCTATTATGCTTATCTCTTTATGGTGATACTGCTCTGTAACATGTCATCTGTCATTCTGTAGGCATCTATCAGGTGGCAGTCCAGAGCCCCACAGCTTATTCTCTCTTTGCAGGAATGATGCTGGGAAGCTGCGTTGCCATCCTCCTGGGTGGCAACATCAGTCAAGCCCTTGGGTGGCCTTTTGTCTTCTATATCTTTGGTAAGCTGCTGTCTCCCCACTCCTAGGTTTTCATATTCAGGGAGATTCTTCTGAGTGTCTATCTGTGTGTACTTTTCTGGAGGAAATGAATCGAGACAGAAAGATACTAGTAAAAGAAAATGTCTTAACATAATAGTAGGGAAGAATTAACTTATACCGTCAAAGGATTTGGAAGTCCTCCTGCCTATGATGCTGTTAACCTGCCATGATGCATTATTAACACCAACCTGCCTATGATGCTGTTAACCTGCCATGATGCATTATTAACACCAAGTGATTGGGCAAAATCTGCTGCCCTAGCAGGCAGTAGGGGACAGACTTGCAGAGTGGTGGTTTGTGAGAGACAGAAGTATCAGAGTTGAGGAGATGGAGGTAAGTAAGGCAGGTAGAAAGTAAGGCAGGTAGAGCTCACAGGAAAGAGTGCCTAACAGGAGACAACTGCACACAGAGAAAACCCTGGCTATCTGCAGAGTCCCCCTTGATACTCACCAGAGCACTGATTAGAATACCTGTGTGGAGACATCATCTGAGGCCGGTGGGGGGCGGGGGTGTGTGTGTGCCGGAAATCATTGGAAAAATTTAAAGAATAGTGTCCAGTACTTATAGAGAATCAGGGATAGTGCCTGTTTCCACAAGACAGAATGAAAAACTGTATAATTCTTGGGCCATTGGGCAGAATCCTAATAAATGTCTTTCCTCAATAGTGAGAAATAATTAGCTCTAGAGGACACACTATTGTGGATCCCTCTAACAAATGATGGTGACCAGACCCAAAGGGTCAGTGTTTCCATGTAATTTAACTGTACCCCAAACAAAGCTCAAAAATACTTATAGGAATACAAAAATATTCAGCACCCAACAAGATATAATTCGTAATGTCTGGCTCAAGGCATAGGTTACCAGGTATGGACAAAGGCAGGAAAACACAATCCATAATAGGGAGAATAATCAATCAATCACAACCAACCCAGAACTGACACAAATGTTAGAATTAGCACACAAGGATAGTTGCTATAACTATATTTGTTCAAAATTTAAGTAGAGACATGCAAAATATATTTTTAAAGACCCTAAATCAAACTTCTAGAGATAAAAACTACAATATAAGGATTGAATTAATGACAGAGGATACAACAGAAGAAAAGATTAATGAAATTAAAAGTAGCAATAGAAACCATCCAGAATGACCTACACAGAGAAAAAAGTAATAATAAAATGAGAACATAAGTAAGGTGTGTAGTACCCAAAGGAGAGGAGTGGGATGGGGGAGCAGAAAGAAACCTTTGAAGAAATGATGGCTGAAAGTTTTCCAAGTTTGTTGGAAACTAAACTCACAGATCCAAAAAAGTCAATGAATCTCAAGCACAGGAAATATGAAGACAACTGTACCAAGTTATACCATAATAAAATGGCTCAAAACCAGTGATAAAGATGAAATCTTAAAAGCAGTCAAAGTTTAAAATTAGAGAGAGAAGAACAAAGATATGATGACTGCAGCTTTCCCATCAGAAGCAATAAAAGCAAGAAGGCAGTGGAACAACATCTTTCAAATACTGCAAGAAAAAAGAAAATAAATCTGTTAACATAGAATTCTAGAGACAAAAAAAACTTTTCAAAAACAAAGGCAAAATAAGGACATTTTTAGATATACAAAAGTTGAAAGAATCAGAAATTTAAATTAAAGAGAACAGTACCATTTTCAATAGCATCAAAAAATATGTAACAGTGCTAAATCTGACAAAAGATGTGAAACATGCACTGAAAACTAAATTATCATGAAAATAAAAAGATCCTAGAATAGCCAATTTTGGAAATTAATGACAAAGTTGTAAGACTAATACAGCCTGATGTCAAGGTATATTATAAAATTACAGTCATCAAGACATTGTGGTATTGGCATAGAGACAAACAGATCACTGAAACAGAATACAGTCATAAATAGACTTACACATTAATGATAAACTGATTTTTGACAAAGATGCAAAAACAATTCAATGGAGAAAGGATAGTCTTTTTAACAGATGGTGCTCAAAAAAAAAAAAAAAAGAATTTTGATCCGTATCTTGCACTCTATACAAAAACTCAAAATGAATGTTGGATGTAATTGTAAGATCTGAAATTATCATTCTTTTAAAAGAAAACATATGAGAAAATCTTTGCTCTTTATTTAGGCAAAGATTTCTTAGCTATGACACCAAAGGTTTGATCCATAAAATAACAAGCTGATAGATTGGATTTCATCAAAATTAAAAACTTTTGCTCTTCAAAAGGCATTATTAGAATAATAAAGAGACAAGTTGAGACGGAGAGAAAATACTTGCAAAACACATATACAATAAGGACTTTTATCCAGAGTGTGTAAATAATTCTCAAAACTCAATAACAAAACAAAAACCCAATTTAAAAATGGGCAAAGACACCTCACTAAAGAGGATAGGGAGAGGGAAAGTAAGTATGTGAAAAGGTGGTCAACTCAACATCCTTAGTCATTAGGGAAATGCAAATAAAAACAATGAGCTACCTCTGCACACCTATTAGAATGGCTAATTGTGACATAATAAGAAATATATAGATATGGTTTCTGCCACCAGTTCCTGACACAGAGCTAAAACTCTTGTAATTTCATGGTGAGTGGTGGGGATGATAGGAGCACCTAAGCAGAGTTCCTAAATCCCTTGGAATTTCTTGAGTTATAGGAAAATCTTTTGTCTAATGAGGTGACTCTTGGTATCCTCCTGGATAGCTTCAGGCTAGAGGCCACCAGAAAGACCAAGCAGTGATTAGAAGCTTGGAACTTTTAGCCCCACCCTCCATCCTCCCAGGAGGAGAGGGTGTATCAGATTGTGTTAATAATCAATTATGCCGACATGATACAGCCTCCATAAAAATCCCTAAACTATGGTGTTCTAAGAGCCTCCAGGTTGGTGAACACATCCACGTGCTGGGACGGTAGCATATCCCCAACTCCACAGGGTCAGAAACTCCTGCACTCAGGACCGTTCCAGACTTCACCCTATGTATCTCTTCATCTGGGTGTTCCTCAGTATCCTTTATCATATTTTCGATAATAAACCAGTAAACATAAATGGATATTTCCCTGACTTTTGTGAGCTATTCCAGCAAATTATCAGACTAAGAGGGAGTTGTGGGAACCTCTGAATTTGTAGTAAAGTTGAACAGAAGTGTGGGTGATTTGAGGACTCACTACTTGCAATTAGTATCTGAAGTAGGGGGCAGCCTGTGTGACTGAGCCCTTACTCTGTAGGGTCTGTGCTAAGGCCAGATAGTGTCAGAACTAAGCTAAACTGTAGGATGCCAGGTTGGTGTCTGTAGAGAATTAGAGAATTTCTTAGTGTGAAAACCCCACACATTTGATGTCAGAAGGGTTGTGAGCAGAGAAATCATTTTCCTTTATTAGTATTAAAAAGGTTGAGATGTCAAGTGTAGTGTCATTCCTAGGGTCTGTGATTTTTGTGCACACAAATAATCAAGAAATATAAAGGAATGGGTTCTAGAAACCTGTGATATTCATGTGAATATTTTGAGAAATGGGAAGAAGATATTAAGAGCAAGAGCTTTTCCCAGGAACCACACCAGAAAATAACACAATGTAAAAAAATTCACACAGAAGTTTACCAATTTTACCTCTGCTGGCAGGAGGTGTTGGCTGTGTCTCCTGCCTTCTCTGGTTTGTTTTGATTTATGATGACCCTGTCACTCACCCATGGATGAACATCACAGAAAAAGAATACATCATATCCTCCTTGGCCCAACAGGTACACATTAAAACTCTGACCTTCTCCAGAGATCTTGTATCAGCATCTGGATTTATCAGGGTGACTAAGAACGTGTGAGCGTGTCTCAGATCTTACTATTCTAATCAGTAAATTTGTTTTCAGGTCAGCTCTTCTAAGCAGCCTCTTCCCATCAAAGCTATGGTCAGATGTCTACCCCTCTGGTCCTTGTGTTTTTGCTGTTTCAGCCATCAATGGTTAATTAACATAATGGTTGTATACACACCAACTTACATCAGCTCTGTGTTCAATGTTGATATCAGAGATGTGAGTATATTTCCCTCCACCCATTTCTCCTGTTTGCATGACTCTCGAATTACTCTGCCTTCACAAATCATCCCATCTAGAAAAATTTATCTTTTATTACCAAGAGATAATATAACAGTCATGTGAGTAGCTTTTCTGAGAGTATGATGGAAGAAGCTACTGATTTTCTTAGGAAAGTATGATTTCAGAGTTGTCGGTATGATTATTAGTGCTTTATCAATACAAGGTGTGATCTCACAGCCTTTATTATGATGGTTTACTCAAGATTTTCCCCTCAGAGTGGCTTCCTGTCTGCCCTTCCTTTTATTTGTGCCCGGGTCGTTGGCATCCTGGGAGGTTACCTGGCAGATTTCCTTCTGACCAAGAATTTTAGGCTTGTTACAGTGAGGAAAATTGCCACAGTTCTAGTTAAGAATAGGACCAAAAGCTCTGATAATTCATAAGGCATACAACAGCCAAAGATGTATCTTGGTTAATTCATCTGTTCCTCGTTCCATAGGAAGTCTCTCTTCTTCAGCATCCCTTGTGGTCCTGCCATACGTTGCCTCCAGCTATATCACAGCAGTGAGCCTTCTGACGCTCTCCTGTGGACCAAGCTTGTTTAGTCAGCCAGGGATCTATATCAATGCCTTAGATATTGCTCCAAGGTAGGACTATAATTTCCACTCTCATTTTCATATTTCCTGAAAAAGATTTAACCTGCAGCCTTCCAGGAGCCCCAAACTTTGTGAAATTATAAATCATGGGTAAGGACCACTGATAGCCTGTGGCCATTTTTTCAAGTATGTGGGAGGAGGGTGTTGTTGATTTGTCTCAGTACCTTTCATTGAATATACACAGAGAGAGTCCTTTTTGACATAATTACTATATGATGGATTCATATGCTAAGCAGGGCTGAAGTGTCTATGGATCTAGCCTGGAACATTCCTGTCACCCACAGGCATTCCAGCTTTCTCATGGGAGCCTCGAGAGGGTTTGCACAGATATCTGCTATCCTGGCACCCACTGTCAGTGGATTTCTTCTCAGTCAGGTAAAGTTTTCTTGTTAAGGATTCTTAAAACACTCTGCTGAATCCATTCATAAAGGTAATAGCATAAAAAAATGTTTTCACATTTTGGATAATAAAATTAAATTGTGGGTAACTTTGTCATGAAGATCAACTTGGCAAAGAAAAATATAAAAGGGTTCCCTTCATGACCTCAATCTTTACTTATTCTGAAACCAAAGCACTCACTAGTGATCCACTGGTAATATCCAGTATTTGAAATTACACAGCCACATAGATGTCCTGTGAGAAGATGATGCATCCATGCATCTATGCAACTTGCCATTACTTCTGCAACACTTTGAAATTTTCATTTGCATAACCATGCAAAAGCAAAGAGATAATAAAATCAAATATGTTTAAGTGCCTGATACATGCAGGTATTATTACAGGTATTTCATATGCAGTGATCTCATTTAATTATTGATTCTCCCACCAATTATGAAAATGAAACATTATTGTCCTCATTTCCTGATGATTAAAATCTGATAGAATATGTCTTCCCACTAAGAGGGTGTAGAACTGGAATTCTCCTAACTTAGGCCTGTCTAGCTCCAAAGCCCACAATCTTCTTCTTGCAAGATTCTTCTTGCACTGCAAGAAGAAATATTATTAGCATATATATAGTCATGATTCGCACAAAAGAGAAAATGTATGGCACTTTGATAAATAGGGACAAATACAATTCTGGAGGTTAATTGCAACGGTCCTTAAGTCCATTTTATGAAGAACATTCTGAATCCATTTTGAAATTCTTTCCATCAAACTATTAAGCTGTGTTCAGGAAATGAATTTCTACATGGAAACCCACTGGTGAATATTGTTTTCTAAACTATTAATGAGTTTCATAGAAAAAGGGATGAAAGGGGTAATATTTACTTGAAGTTTTGTCTCCTCAGGACCCTGAATTTGGGTGGAGGAATGTCTTCTCCTTGTCATTTGCCATTAACACATTAGGACTGATCCTCTACCTTATATTTGGAAAAGCAGATGTCCAAGACTGGGCTAAAGAGAGGAAACTCACTCGTTTATGAAGGTAAAGAAAAATTATTTCATCTATGGTTATAACCAGAGAAGCACTATTTAATTTTTTTTAATTTTTATTTTATATTGGAGAATAGCTGATTTACAATTTTTTTAATTTTTATTTTATGTTGGAGTATTAAATTTTTAATTCTATGCCCTTTTTCCTTCTTAGTTACCCCACCTTGGATGGAAAATCATTAGGCACCTTATTTCATAAACGAGAAGACTTCAGTGATGAAAATACCAACAGAAAAAGTTTTCTTTGCTGTAGCTCTTTTCAAATCTGAGATCAGTTCCTTATTTTACTCAGATTTCATTTTGAGAAAAATATAAGATGAATGAAAATTCAAATAAAATGATAGCCAAGAACATGTCATCTTCATAGAGTTAACAATGAATTCAGAGGAGCTGCTCTATGGGAGCCAGCAGGCTAGATTCACAGTTTTTGAATCTCTAAACAGGAAACTATGTTTTGAAACTCTTAATCGAGGGCAGTAACCTCCCTAGGGCAATGATTCCTCCTACTTGTGAAAATGAATATTAATTTATATATTTGTTGGGCTGGATATTGTCCATGTGTTTCTCCCTTTGTGTGCTCCACTCTCCTGCATCCTGCTCGGGCCCCAGGAGGCTGACCTGAGTGGTTTGCATCCCACACTTTCTTGTCCACTGCCTCCTGCTGGATTTTCAGTGGAGGCAGGAGAGTGAGGATAGGGAGTATTTATCTCTAAAGTTCCTCCTCGTGGGGACTGCAGGTGGCTGATCCTTCCTGTATAGTTCACAGCTCCTAGCAGACAGCCCTCTCCACATAGTCTGGTAATTTCTCTCTTCCCATGTCCCATCAAACCTTTTTTGGCCTTTATGTTGCAAGTTCTGGGATTCTCAAGAATTATCTTGTGGTTTCCTTCCCACCTTCCCAATCCTGTGTAAATTGTCTCATCTAACACTGTCCTCAAATTACCCAGTGTGAGTCTCTTATGTTTCTCCTTCTAGGATCCAACTAATTTCAGTAGTTAAGTCATATATAAAGCTCAAAACATGAAATGGTTCAGTATTTCTTTAAATTATAATTTGTGGGTGTCAGTGGGTCATAGCATGTTCAGAGGGGCCAAAACTGTGTTCTAGGTTGCTCCCCATGGTGATCTCTACTGTGTTGAATAGAGATTATAGCCATCAAGTTATTTTGTATAGAAGTGATGTGATGGACGCTAGTTCTGAGTGTAAAATTAGGGCAAGGATATAGAAGGTCAAATTTGAATAAGCAACAACAATTACTGAGATTTTGCATAGTCTAGAATCTAGGCCCTTGGAACACTAGAGTAAATTAGACACAGTCACTATTGTCCATTCAGATGTGGAAGACACACATAATAATACATGGCAAGTGCATTGCCTTAGGTACAATAGCAGGGGGACATGCAGGTCATTACAGGAGACCAGATGAGGGGTTCCAATCCTAAGCTGAAGAGCACAGGGGAGATCTCCTTCTGCAAGTAATTCCTGAGCTAAATGTTAAAAGAGGAGTGTTATGGTAGAATTTTCCACATTGGAGCCCAACTTGTACAAAAGCATGAAAAAAAATAAACATTTCTGAAGGGAATCACTTGCCTACATGGTCAGTTAGGGAAGGGCAGAAGATTAAGTTAGGGAGGTGGGTGTGACCAGAACATGGAGGTCTTGTTCGCCATGTCAGGGAGCTACAAGCAATAGTGACATGGGCAGATTTTCTCTCTAGATAGGACACTCTGGCCCAATTCCAGAATCAGGAAGACTAGTTAGTGGTCCACACAGCAGCGGTGAGGACTGGACTAGGGTTGGAAGAGCTGGGATGGAAAGAAGAGAGATATGAGTAACATTTAGGAGGCAGAAGTGAAAGATCATGGCATTTGGTTAGATAGATGCAGGAGAAGAGAGGAGTTAGGAGTCCTGGGCCTCTAACCTGAGATACTGAATAGAGAGTGGTCTGAATAACTAAGCCAGAGAATGCAGGAAGAGTCCTTTTCAGAGGGAAGATAATGAGTTGACTTTGGACATGTGTTAGCAGTAATACTGGGATAAATAAGTGGGTGTGTGTCTTAGTTTCATGGGCTGCCATAACAAAATACCACGAGCTTGTGGCTTAAGCAATAGTAATTTATTGTCTCACAATTCGAGAAGTCCAAAATCAAAATGCCAGCAGAGTTGGTTCCTTCTGAGGTTTGTGAGGGAGAATCTGTCCCATGCCTCTCTTCTGGTAGCCTCAGGCATTCTTTGGCTTATAGGTAGCTTTCTCTCTGTGTCTTCGTCTCATCTCCCCTCTCTACATATCTGTCTCTGTGTCAGAATTTCCCTGTTTTACAAAGACACAAGTCCTATTTGATTACGGCCCACCTTAATGACTTCATCTTAACTTGACCATCTGCAAAGACCGTATTTCCAGTGAGGTGACATTTGGTACTGTGCGTGAGGACTTCCGCACCTTTTTGGGAGACACAGTTCAATGCATAACAGCAAGCCCAAAAAAAGCCAGACCATAAATCTGAAACTTGTAAAAAGACCTGGGATGGAGACAAAGATATAAAAGTACAGACGTTCAGTACTAAAGACATGAATATTTAATACTCAGGAGGAGCCTGTGAATGAAAAAATACCAAGCCAAAGACAGAATGCCAACATTCAAGGAGTGGGCAGAAGAAGAAATGCCCACACATAACAGAGCCAAAAGGGTCAGGCTTGTACATGTGAGGAACAATGGGAGGACACAACTCTTATAGAAACGCATGAACATGGCCTTTAAGAAAGATGACAGATCAGCAATAAGTACACTGCCATTCAATTAGATGAGGTCAGGAAAGGAACATGGTCAACTTGTGATTGGAAGTTCACTGGTGGCTTTTTCATGACACATTTAGCAGAGATATGGGTGTGCAGGTCACTTTGCAGTTTGTTGGTGAGTGAATGAGAATGAGAGAGTAGAGAAAGCAAGAAAAATATTTTCAGGAAGGGATGGGAATATAGCCAGAGGAGAATAGAGGGAAAGGAAGAGTGACCTAAGTGGGAAAAGGACTGGCCCAGGGGATGCTTCGGGGAAGAAACAGTGGAGCGGGAGTGAAGATATGGAAGGACAGGGTGAAGAGATGGAGCAAGGTCTTTGAAGACACAATAAGGATTCAGGTACAGGTTTGCCTTGAACATATAGAAAGAAAATATGAAATCAAAAACATGAATTTTCTCTTTAAGAAAGGGAGTCCAGGAAACCAGCAACAAACGAAAAAGCAACCTACTTAATGGGAGAGAATATTTGAAAATCATATATTTGATAAGGGGTTAATATTGAAAATACATAAAGAACTCATACAACTCAATAACAAAAAAAAGCCAATCTGATTTAAAAATGAGCAGAAGAACTGAGTAGACATTTTCCAAGAGAAGACAGACATACAAGCGGCCAACAAGTACATGAAAAGGTGCTCAACATCGTTTATCATCAGCGAAATGCAAAATCAAAACCACGAGATATCATTTCATACCTATTAGAATGGCCATTATCAAAAAGACAAGAGATAACAAGTGTTTAGAAGGATGTGGAGAAAAGGGACTCGTACAATGTTGATGAGAAGGTAGATTGGTGCAGTCACTATGGAAAACAGTATGGCGGGTCCTCAAAAAATTAAAAATAGAACTACCTCATGATCCAGCAATCCCAGTTCTGAGAATACATCTGAAGGAAATGAAAACAGTATCTCAAAGAGATATCTACACTCCTATGTTCACTGCAGCATTATTCACAATAGCCAAGATATGGAAGCAACCCATCAATGGTAAATGAATAAAGAAGATACACACACACACACACACACACACACACACACACACACACACATATACATATATTTCAGCCATGAGAATGAAAGACGTTCTGCACATGGATGGACTTTGAAGGCATTATGCAAAGTGAAATAAGTCAGATAAATACAAATGCATATTACTTATATGGGAAATCTGAGAAAGCCAAACTCATAGAAACAGAGATTAGAATGGGGGTTACTAGGGGGTGGAGGATAGGGGGGAAAGGGGAGATGTTTGTCAAAGAGTATGAACTTTCAGTTATAAGACAGATAACTTCTGGGGATCTAATGTACAGCATAGTGATTATAGTTAATAATACTGTCTTATACACTTGAATGTTGCTAAGAGGGCAACATTTTAAATCTTAAACTTTTAAATCTTAAAAGTTCTCAGCACACAAAAAGAAATGGTAATTATGTGACGTGATGGGGGTGTTAGCTAACACTGTCGTGGTAATCATTTTGCAATATAAGTGTTTCTAATCAACACAATGTGTACCTTAAACTTATACAATGTTAAATGTCAATTATATCTCAATAAAGCCGGGGTGGGGGGAGAAAAAGAGTCCATTTTTTTTTCTCAGTAAAATGCCTGCTGACTATACATGTTGAACTAAATTAAGGAGTTCCAAAGTAGATACATTTTTGTTTGATGAACCCTCTTTGTTCCCTATGATATTGATGTCCCAAAAGAAAAAGAAAATCCAGTTGGTGCTAATGAAACCTCTAAGTTCTCCCTGTTGGGCAGTATAACCTAAAGGCTCCATATGCTTGCATCTGCAAGATCTTGATTATTAAATATATTATTAAAACATTTACCTTGAAAATGAAAGATGGCTTCAAATTGAATCAGTTGATTAAAATGATTCTATCTTTAGGTGTATTATTTTTTAAAAAGTTACAGACTACACAGTGAAAGTTCCTAAAGTTTAGGATGGCTATTTTACTCTTCCTATTGCAATCAAGTTTTTAAGAGTGATTTCTGCTGTCTTTTCTGAAATCCAGAACGCATACAAAAATGTTTTCCCCATCCCGTTGTTGTTTTGTTTTTTGACTCTAATCTTCCCTAAATAGAGGAGGCACACCTGTATTGTTTGACAATAAAGAAGAAGAGGTAAAAATGGGTGCAATGATGATGATTATGAGAGAGGAAGACATTGGATGGGATTATGGTGCCGCTTTGCCTTTGTGAGTGAAAGGTTGATCTGTGCACATAGCAGTTCATTCATGCAAGTCCACATGTCAGTGTCGTGGTGGGTTAGATGGGAGTCCATACGACAATATATTGGGTTATACAGGCCTGAATCACGGTACAACAAGGGTTGGTAACTCCATATGAGACGATACTGGGTATTAAAAGGTCCATGAGGGAGCTTACTGATGGGTTTGTAGGTCTAGATGACTATACATTGGGTGTTGTGTGATCTTGTGATTTATAATAAGAATTTTATATTTGGTCTTTGTCCCTAGCTTCCTAGCTCCTAAAAACCTCGGAATGTCCCAAGTGGAGAGGTATCTTTTGTTATGTTAATGTGGTTACTTTTGGAATGTACCAAAAGATGGGGGCTGCTTGCCAAGGGAATCCAATCTGGGTTAGGGGGTGGAATTTTCAGTCTCACTCCCGTGACCTTTGGGGAGGGGAGAGGGGCTGGAAGTTGAATCAATTGCCAATGGCCAATGTTTTAACCGATCATATTTTCATAACGACGCCTCCATAAAAGCTCAAAGGAGTTGAGTTCAGAGAGCTTTCGGGTTGTTGAACCAGAGCATGTCCATGTGCTGGGCTCCCAACCCCATAGGGAAGAAGGTCTTGTGTTTGGGACCCTTTTGGACCTCACCGTATGTATCTCTTCATCTGCCTGTTCCTTTGTAGCCATTAATGTCCTTTGTAATAAACCAATAATCCAGTAGATAATTGGCTTCCTGAGTTCTATGAGCAACTCCAGCAAATTAATTGAACCAGAGGAGGGGATCGTAGGAACCTCTGATTTACAGCCAATATGTCAGAAGCACAGGTAACAACCTAGGTTTATGAGGAGCATCTGAAGTGGGGGCAGCCTTATGGGTTTCAGCCCTTAAGCTGTGGGATCTGATGCTACCTCCAAGTAGACAGTGTCAGAATTGAGTGAAATTGTAAGACGCCTGGTCAGTGTCCATTGAGAACTGGAGAATTGCTTAGCAGTGTGTGAAAAAAGCCCACGTTGTACCTTGTGCATATGACAGCGTGCAACGGGAAGTAAGCCCACTTGGAAGCATATCATGTGTTGATTTATTCATTTGTCAACACATCGGGTGTTGGTTGCGTATGACAGCACATTATTTGACAGGACATTATTTCAGCACAGCCATTGTAGAATTTGTGATTTCATGAGAACTGTTCATCCTCTTCCTTGGCTCTAGATGAACCCACAGGTGTGAGGACAATAGTGCAAATGGGTGTGTGTGTGCTGATCTCCAGTACAGCCCAGTATTTGCAGCAGCCTCTCAGAGTCTGAGTTTTTCAAGAAAAGGGAATTGATTTTTCTTGAGTAATAACAGTAGTGGACATTTTCTAAAAGTTGCAGAATGGTTAAGTTGCTTGTCCAGGGTCACAGCAGTGAGTAGCAGAACTGAGATTCAATCTCAGGCAGTCTGACTGAAGAGTGTGTGCCTGAAACTTCTACGCTAAACTGCCCCTTAAAAGTATATTTTGGGCTTCCCTGGTGGCGCAGTGGTTGAGAGTCCGCCTGCCGATGCAGGGGACACGGGTTCGTGCCCCGGTCCGGGAAGATCCCACATGCCGCGGAGCGGCTGGGCCCGTGAGCCATGGCCACTGGGCCTGTGCGTCTGGAGCCTGTGCTCCGCAGCGGGAGAGGCCACAGCGGTGAGAGGCCCGCGTACCGCACACACACACAAAAAAGTATATTTTACTTGGATCAGGAATAGCTACTAGCTATCAAAAAATTATAAAAGTTAATATAAACTATTTTATTAAATCTTCACAACCTTATGGATTAAGAAATTATTTCCATTTCCTCACAGGGAAGAGACTGAAGGGCCGGAAGGTTAAATGTCTTCCTCAAATGCTATTTGCGTTAGGGGCAAGAATTTTACAGCGGCCAAAATTCCACTGTATAGATTGATATAAATGTTAATCAAGACTGATATTTCTGTTGTTCTTCAAATACATTGTTGAGGTTGCACTGAGCACTTCATCATTTTATCCTGCTGGGTTGCTATCAAAGACCGTTTACCATGAGCTATAAGTTTCATCTGCTGGTCCCCATTAGCTCAAGTCTCACCCCAGAACTAAGTGCCCATCAACCTGCTGGTCCTTCTGCACACACATTCCATTAGTTGCTATTTCACCACCAGAGTAAACTCTGAATCAGAAAGCAGGAAGGCCACCTAAGGGTAGGTCAGCCATCGAGGTCTGACTCAACCTCACGGAGGAGGTCTCTTCTCAGACACCAGATCTTAGAATTGTTCCAATCAAGGGCAAGAGAGTCTTACCCTTCTGCTCTTCGTATGTGCTCACCTTTATCATTTCTGAATTCTTCAGTTTGGGTCATTTGGGCAGAAGTGACCAGTGTCCTCCATAAAGGCTTCAGCCATCTGGCCTCCCCATCTGAGCACAGATATGACCAGAGACGTGCTGACTGAGGATGGACTTTTGTTTGTATTCTGTATCCTTGCCTCCAGCCTATACACTCTGATCTCCCTTCTCATCACTGTGTGTGCAAACAATTCATTACCAGGCATACACACAGCCTCTAGTACAACATCTTTCTTATAGTAGTTTTAACGTGAATTTTTTTTTAACGTGAATTTTTAAGTAGGCATAATTTACATGATACAAGGAGCGAGTTTTTAAGTGTAAAACTACTGAGCTACTTTATTAAGATCAGAAGTTTACAAGTGATATTCAAAAAATAATGACATGTATTGTGAAACTTTTGTTTTCCCAGGCAACACCAATCTGGGGCAGAAGTGGGGGGAAATGATTCACACTTACAGGGGAAAGATTGCACTGATCTGACTCCAGCCACAACCTGCTCCTACCAAGACTTCACCCTCCAACAAAGCTCAAATCTTTCTGAGAATCCCAATGAGGGACTTATTATCATGAGTTTTGTATTATAATTGCTATGTCAATATTTGGTGTCAAACCAACAAGAAATTTAAAACCATTTCCAATATGTTCATTTCATTCACTCCTTTTCATTATCTGTAAATTCCATTACACATATGAGTAGTCATCATGGATGAATGATATAAGTATCCCAGGAAGCTGTTCCTATACCAGATTAGCTAGCAGTAATTTAACTCTATCCATTTTTGACCCAAACCACATAAATGTAGCCTAATTTTTAGCCCAAATTAAGTATATTCCCACTTAAGCTTTGCCTTAGCAATATTAAACCATTCCCTCCATTACTTCATCACCCATCACTAGGGGGAGTCCAACAGAATGGTGATGGATAGTGGCCTTACACGATTGTGGTTAAAACTGGTTAAAATTTTCAAACACCTAAGACTATGTGAACACATTTCTAGTGCCCTGTCCCCCTCCACCGGAAGCTTGGAAACAGCCCATGCAAATGACAGGTTCTTAATCTTGTCACTGAGAGTACTATATGGATATGACTGACTGCTGAAGGCCCTGACATGGCTGTACCATGCTTCTTTGAGTCTTCAAAGTAAGCACATAATGAATATCCAGTGAACTGAACTGAAGCACCAGTGTATGGTCAGGCCACTCCGGATGGCTGTTCTCTTGCTCTCTGTACATCTCCTGCTCGACCTACACCTGCTTCACCTACGCCCTACTCACAGGAACGTGCTTTCCCCCTGCCCCTTAGGCCAGAATGGCTTCACCTGCTAGTTTATAAA